ATATAGGAATAGTTTGATTGATTCAGTTCCAGGGAGCATGGGAATGATTTTAGAAGGAATCTTCTGTGGAAAGAATTGCAATATGGTTAAGATTATCCAAGATGGAACAAAAAATTAGAGACTTTCTCAAAGCTTTGGTGCTTTTTTCGGAAGCAACTTGATCTTCTCATATCTTGAGATTTATGATATATTTTAATCAAGACCCTTTCTTGGGAAATCAAGTTTGGTTGAGATAGAGGCTATAAACTTGCCAAAAGGGATCAATTTGATGTATTTTAGCTGCCATTTTTTAGTTAATCTGCACTTCTATATGAACTTGACATGGTGATATTTTAAACCCATAAATTGGGGGATTTCCAGACAGAGTAGGCATGAAATCTCCATGGATGAATCATTGAGTTCGTTTGCAAAAGTAATACGCTCTAGAAACATTATATTTGAAGATATACAATGGCCTGAGGTTGAAGATACTGCCTGCATGTCAAGAGTAACCCATTATATAATCAACTTTCAATGTATTGAGATTTGTTATACTTTTTTGAGATATTGAGAGAATAAAATGAGAAAATTCAGAGCAAAAGATAAAGGGATTTTTAAGAAAAAAACCCTACAAGACCTATTTTTTAAGATTTTGGTCCTTGATTTTAATTTCTGAAATGAGCCCTCACTCATCCATGTGGGAAAAAAATAAGATGGACAATTTACCATTTTGCCCCTCTTTCCATTGGAAAGGAAATAAAAAACATTTTCTTCCCATTCAGGCCTTATTCTTGAGTAAATGTATTCTCGCCTCCCTCTTTCTCTAAATCCCTTTACGCTGCACAACAATCTCCCTCTCTTCCTATGAAACCCCTAAGTTCTTTCTTTTTCCCACGTCTCTCTCTCTATAAGAACTAATCCACATGGTTTCTCTCATCTCGCACTAAATATGGAAACATTAAAAAAAATAAATAAATAAATAAAATAAAACAGCTACTCAATGATTTTCAATATAGCATGCAATCGATTATGAAAATCTTTTTGCCCAAGTTGCTAAAGTGACTACCATTTGTAGTTTTTTTATATGATCAAGCTATAGACTGATTCTACCTTGATTATTGTTAGGCATGGTTAGTTGCCCAAGGATTTGCATAAAAGCATGGAATCGATTATGGAGAAACTTCTGCTTTTGTTGTCAATATCACTAGTTTCATTCAGAACAAACATATCACTCCATGTTTGTTCTTGCAACGAGTCATGGCATTTGAATTTTATTTATTTTATTTTTGCTATATATGATATTCTCATTTCTAAAGATGACCTCACCTCAATCAGACATGTAAAGTAGTGATTGTAGAAAAATTTAGGATGAAGGACCTTGGCGATTTTTCCTCTTTTCTTGGCATCAAAATCACTTGATTTACAAGTAATACTCACATCAGCCAACAAAATTACACACTTGATCATGTTTCAAGTATTAGATTAACTAATACTAAGGTTGCTGATATGCCCATATAGCTTAATATCAAACTTTTGCTCATGTTACATAACCTAATTTTGAGCATACAATACATTATATGCTTGTTGGCTCCCTCATTTATCTCATCATGATACATTTAGGCATCCCATATATTGTCCATGTGGTGAGCCGGTTTATTTGAGATCCTTACCGATCGAATCTCTCGGTTGTTCACCAAATTTTGTGCTATATTAGAAGATTGGACATTGCATATATTGTCCATGTGGTGAGCCGGTTTATTTGGGATCCTCAACGATCAAATCTCTTGGTTGTTTACCAAATTTTGTGCTATGTTAGAAATATATCCAATTTGAAGTGCTCTTTGCATCCGTATCCTCTTTGAATTTTACATCATATGGAGATGTTAATTTGGTAGATGGTCTAGATACTTGCCACTATACTCTCGACAATTTTGTATTTCTTGCCTCATCATTGATTTTTTGGAGCAATAAACAAGAAATTATATCCAAGTCCAGCATTAAAGTTGAGTACCATGTCCACTATTGCCAGGAAGAGTATTTTGAGTATCCAATCTTCTTAATGAATTTAATTTTCAGTTTTCAATTACACACCCTTATATGCATATAATCAAATAGGCAAAGAGCCATTAAGATTGCCTATAGTTTATCTTTTATTAAAAAAGAACACATATTAATGTGGATTGCCACTATGTTAATGATTGTCATCTTGAAAATACATTATCTCTCCCTTACACTTTTTTACTTGGGCAAAAAGTTGACATTTTCATTAAACCGGTTACTTGGAAGTGCCATGATTTTCTGATGGATAAGTTGACACATCCCTTGTGCTTGCATGGGCTCAAGGGGGGTTAATGATAAGCACTCACATAATATTATATGTATTCAAGTTGTATTATTTTTTTAGTGTAGCTTAATTTGGTATAAATCAAAATAAATGTTGTATATATAAACACTTATTAAATGTTGTATATATACACACGCACAAAAGGAAAAGGCCTTGAAGTGGGCTTAAAAGCTAAGATTGGAAGGTTTTTTTCGATATGAACCATGGCACTCTTCTTCCTAAATGAGTGATTTAGGTTGGGATGGAGTATTCCTACGTTTGCTAATGCACCTATTCAAATGCAGTCAAAATTTATCTTAGACATTTGGTTATGTTCTTAAAATTTCACAAATCAGTAATCTCGACCCCCAAAATCAGTAACATGGAAAAAATAATTTTAAATAGTAAAATTCGAAAAAGAGCCCGAGCAAGTGGTTAGCGCTTGATGATTTGCAACATTACGTCCTAGGCTCAATTCGATAGGGCCCCCTCGTCATTGGCTCACCCAAAAAAAAAAAACTAAAATTACACTGTTTTAAGTTTGGGTGCGGTTTGTATAGAGCCTAGGCTCTAAACAATCAAATAAGAGCCTACCTTCAAATAGTGTTGAGAAATGTAG